CTCAAGTTCCTTTCAAATCGCTGCCCTGTAAGGTAGAGTGGGATAGCCCAGTGGCAGAGTGCTAGCCTACCATGCACAAGCCCTGGGCTCCATCCTTAGCACCCTAAGAATGTAGGAACCACTCTGTCCTCCAACCAATAAGGAAGACAATCCATAACACCTTTGCAGGGGAAAAATTCAGGACTTTATTAAAAGGTGAAAAAATGAATACACATCCTAACAGTGGCAGCCCTTCTCAGGAGCGATCACAAATGTCACTACTCAAAGAAAATCACAGTTTTGCTGGGATTGTCCCCTCTTCACCACCCAAATGTTTGTGGAAGAAAGTCTGGAGTTTCTGCCATGCATCCACCTGGGCCATGGCATGAGGACTGGGCTCCCCTCCAAAGACGACAGGTCCATTATAAACGTTAAGTAGGGTAGACTGGCAGCATGGGAAATAAGGGGGCTCAATATAATGCCCTGCTTTTGGGTAGCAGATAATCTGGGGCTTCTCCTTCCCATGGGCCTGCAAGCGTTTGGAGATCTCATTGGCATAGAACTCACTCTTCCAGCTCTGGTCATCCTGACCTATAATCAACAGGAAGGTTGTATCTGACCTTTCCACAGGGATGATGCTCTTCTGGTCAGGTCCTTCTAAAGGGCAGTTCAGAACATCCAAAGTATCTTTAAGGCCATCTTTGGTCACCCTGATTCGATTTAAATTACTGCCCAAAGGGGGCAAGGTCTCATCCTTATAGTATAATGTTCCAGCAACATTGGCCATACAGCCATTGATTATGACAGCAGCCGTGATGCCTTTCAGGAAAGAGGCCATGGAGAGGCAGAGTTGAGCCCCTTTGGAAGTCCCCAGCAGGCCAATCCCTGGTCCCTTGACCTAAGAAAGAGACAGAGAGAAGAAAGGGAATGAGTTCATCTGGAGGGTAGGACAGTTAGTGATGCCAACCTATGGAGGCAAGGCAGCCTTTCCTAAATCTCCTTCTGCACCATCCTGGCTTTTAAAAGGTGATAGAGTCTCTTCAAATCAATGTCCCTAGTGGTAAGATGAGGCTCAACTCTACGTCCCATGGTGTAACTAGGAATGCTGGGCCTTATTTTAGACTTGTTCCTAACTAGCTCTTATAACTTAAGTTAACCCGTATGTTTTATTCTATGTTCCTTTACAAGGATTGGTTACATTTACTCTGTACTGCCCATCCTGATTCCTCTGTGCCTGACTGGTTATTCTAATTTTCTTCTCTCCAAGACCTCTCTATCTCCAGAAGTCCTAGCTAACCTCTTCCTGCCTAGCTATTGGCCATTCAGGTTTTATTAAACCAATCACAGTAGCATATCTTCACATAGTGGAAAGAAATATTCTGCAACACCACGATCTAAAAGAAGCTCATGTGCATCAGTCAGGAAAATATTTTCTTTTTTATCTGTGATGAATTTACAGTGGTGGGCTCTACATTCACATGACTTCATGGTCATCCAATAAGCATCCTAGTAAAGTGAGGTAAGATTCTGCCTATGAGCAAGAGTTCAAGATGCATGTGTAGGTAATGGGGAAGAAAGTGATGCTTCAAACAAAGAGTTTCTTATTTTTTAAAAAGAGTGTTGAGGGGAATGAGACTTTGAAGACTTTGTTTAAATTCAAAACCACTGACAGACTCTGCAGAGTGGGGGCAGGGTGACTGAAGTTACACTCTTTCATGATTGTAGGGTCAGGCAATGGGACTCTGTAGGAACATCACTAGGCTTTCACTGAAATGTTTACAAAACCAGAAGCTCCCAGACAAGGACTCTATTGCTTCTAACAGGGAAGCTTTCAACCCTTGCAAAATGAGGCTCCTCCTGGCAGCTCTCACTTCTGCTGGGCTTCAGGAGTGGCCTCTGTTTCCTTGTTCACACTGAATGTGATTTTCTGTTGTCCACATCGGTCCCCGCCTTGCCCCACACTGCGCTCTGAACTCACGTGGACCTGATCGTGTCTTCCTCACCTGTAGTCCTGTCTGACACCTCTGTTGTCTGCCAAGTGAAGGACGTGTGTCAGTTAGTGTTAGGTCCTGCTGTAGGGCTTCACAAGTGTGAGCCATTTGGTGCTCAGGACAAAACCAGAGCCTGGAGACACACTCAAGCAAAGCAATGATGCCGCTCAGGGACCCGGCCCAACTGTGATATCCCTCAGCCGAGCCAGATTTTGTTTTATTAGAATTGTGTGTGTGTGTGTGTGTGTGTGTGTGTGTGTGTGTGTGTGTGTGTGTTTCTCCATCTATGTCTATGTGTGCACAGCTATACTTATCGATTCCCTGGAGCTGGAGTTACAGGCAGTTATTAGCCACTTTCCTGGGTACTGGTAACCCAGCCATGGTCCTCTGGAAGATCAGCAAGTGGTCTTAAAGGATGAGCCACCTGTCCAACCTGCCATCTTCCATATGTGCCAAATGTGTCCATGTCTCAGGAGGCTCCCTTTCCAGACAAACCACAATACCTCCCTTTATCTGAGGTATTCAGTCATCAGACTGTTCAATGACCTGATCAATACCCTGAAATTCCATCCAGTTGAGTTATTTGGGTTTTTTTTTCTACTTTCAAAATGAAGATTGGATTGTCTCACAATGTCTGAGCAATTGGATTGAAAGGCTTACCTTGGTGTATGTGTGTGGGGGTTGTTTTAGGAACATAGTTTCTAAACCAAGAGTCAAAAATAAGAGCCAACCTGAGGGTGCCTGAGCAGGTAGTTCACAGCTTCCTCAAAGTACTCCAGGTGAAGGGTCTTCACGCTCTTGGGGAGGTCATCGTAGCTATAATAAGCCAGAGCCAGGACAGCAAAACCCTTCCCAGCCAGCAGACTAGCCCGATACTCCAGAAGGCCACCTCCAAGTCCCAAAATGTCTATGATCCCAGGAAAGGGTCCATTTCCTTATGGAAACAAAAACAATAGTCCTCTAATGAATTTTAGAGGTCATTTTCATTTAAGTGGGAGCAAGGAAGGGGAGTTATGGGAATCCAAACCTCTCCTATTCTGAGAGGAGACCTCCTTGGATATACATTTGAGCAGCCCACGACTTCTGAGTAAAGGAGATCGAGGGGCAGTCTACCATTTAGTCAGCTCAACAGCATTTGCACCAAGTTCCCAGCAACTCTGAGTGCCCATCTTTATGGATATCAGCTGCTGTCTGGGTGCTGGGACTAGATGCATGGCTCCTTGTTCAACCTCCCTTGGATCCTCTCAGTTTGCTGGTCCCAATTTTCCAAAGTCCCTATCAATGTTTTCTTACATCTATGACCTTCCAATATGTTCTTTTCCTACTTAAACCACCCCAAATCTGTTTTTGATGCTTGTAATAAAAATATGATTATTTGATTTTTCAACTATTAAGTTATCAAAGCCTACTGTAAACAAAAGTTTAATGTCCTGACTACCTGTTCCCAAATACCTAGAAGCCACTTCCAGAATTACCACACAGAGGCTTAATATGAATTGTATATTATAAATGCTTTGCAAATAGCTCAGACTTATTACTAACTAGCTGTTCCATTTTAAGTTAACCCATATTCCTCATTTATGCTCTGCCATGTATTGGTACCTTTAGTAGCATGCCATGTTCATCTCCTGCGCCCTCTGTGTCTGGCTGGCGATTCCTCACTGTGCCCTTCTCCTTCCCATCATGTTTAGTTTGGTTGTACCATGTAAGATTCCTGCCTGGCTACTGGCCAATCAGTGTTTTATTAAGCCAATTTGAGTGACAAATCTTTACAGTGTACAAGAGGATTATTCCACAGCATTTCCCCCTTTTTGTGTTAATTAAAAAGGAAGGTTTTAACCTTAGTATAGAAAAACTATATACAACAAAAACAGTTATCAAGTAAGAATTACAGTTACAATGTCTGGTTGTATTTGACAAAATTAAATAAAATATTCTACCTTTTATCTTTGTGAGTCCAAAGGTTTATATCTAACTTATCTTTTATCACAACTAAGGAAAACTATAATTATAACTATCTAGTCTTTAACTC